AGATAGATAGATAGATAGATAGATAGATAGATATAAATAGAGAGAAGAGATAGATGATAGATCTAAAGGATAGATAGATATAGAGAAAAGAGAGATAGATATAGAGAAAAGATAGATATAAATAGAGAAAAGATAGATAGATATTAATAGAGAGAAGAGATAGATATACAAATAGAAAGAGAAGAGATAGATGATAGATCTAAAGAAGAGATAGATAGATAGATATAGAGAAAAGAGAGATAGATATAGAGAGAAGATAGATATAAATAGAGAAAAGATAGAGAGATATTAATAGAGAGAAGAGGCCGTATCAAATTGTTCTTGATTTCCCCCAAAAGTTCCCCGCATGCCCAGCTCACTGTCTCTTCTCCGCAAAGCAAGCAGCCACGGCAGCCTCCCGGAGAGCCCGCCAGTCCACTTCCGCCGTTGCCGTCTGAGTTCCCGGATGCCGGTGGCGGAACCTTCGGGGTCCGGGGACGAAGAGGGCCAGGACACCCCAAGACAGCGTTTTCGGCAACGCCGACTGGGCGTGCTGTGGGGGTCCCTGGAAGAGTCTGCGGCTCCCGCGAGAGAGTCAGGACCCCCAAGCCAATTGCCCACAACCAGCGAGGAGGAAAGAGGTGAGGCTTGATTGATGATTGATTGATTGATTGATTGATCCAGGCTGGGCTTGGGTGGTGACGGGGATGCTGCAACTGTTGTGTGAAAAATGGTCCTTAGTCAACTTTCTTTCAGTGCCGTTGTAACTTCAAACGGTCACTAAACGAGGACTCCCTACACTACAAGCAGGGGAACCCTCAAAGAAATAAGATAAAATTTGTGTCTGGGGTGTCACGTCCATTTTATAACTGAACTGGCAGAACGCTGCTTGTATCCATTTTCTGAAAAACCCCAACTTCAGAGATGTAGCAGCTCAGGATGCCAGCTGAGCTTTGCCTGAACGTGCCAGTTTTCTAAATGCGAGGGATTTATTTCATGCCTTTCTTATCATGCAGATGCCCCAGTAAGCAATCTATAGGGGTGTAGAGTATGCACTTTAAAAAGTTAAAATGGCAATGGATAAGCAAATACTATTGTCATTATTATGTGATTATTATTGTTATTATTATCACTTCTTAAAACCAACTGTAAGACAACACTGTTTATATAAACATTGAATTTTTATGTTTAACATTACTATCTATCTATCTATCTATCTATCTATCTAGTCCATCCATCCATCCATTCATCTAGTCCGTCCATCCATCCATCCATCCATCCATCCATCCATCATGTCTATCTATCATCCATCCATCTGTCCCTTACTCTATCATCTATCTATCTATCTATCTATCTATCTATCTATCTATCTATCTATCTATCTATCTATCTATCT